ATTATTATAAATTCTGTATAATGCAGGACTGCATAAAATTCGAATAGCGCAGGATAAGGCCATGAAATGTGTGTATATATTTTTGTTTGCAATCTTTTTTAAAACAATTGGTCCGGTGTATAATAAAAATTGCCTTAATTCAGTGGCTTTATAGTATTCAATGTCCTCTAAACTTCTTGGCAAGCGTGGAAAATCTTTCGGCACATAATTCTTCAAAAACAATAATTGATTATTAATATCATTTTTATCAGTCTCGGGTAAACGATGATTTTTTTTTCCCTCTTATCCAAAACATAATTAATCTTTTAAACTACGCCTAGAAATACAAGATGCATGCCATCGAGAGGAACTTGAGATACGAAACCAATAGTTAGCTTTTCGAAAGGACTTGTATCTTTATGGAATTCCTCATCTAATTAATTTCTGATACTGAAATCAGTCCGCAATTGTGCATTTGTTTGTAAAAAAGTCATTCTTCCATTAACAAAGGTCCCTTGAATGCATTTGTGCAGGCATTATAGCCTGTATGACCTTTAATACATAAAATAAATGATTTTGCAGGAGCATCACAAAGAAGTTTACCAACCTTTACTTTTATTATTTTTTTATTTATGTTAAAACCATTTTGTTCTAAATGTTTGAACTCTGTTATAAACTCAGTTAAAAATTGGTCTACATAGGCTGGTTTCTTGTGTCCGTGATATATCCCAGCCGCAAAGGTTTTTTAATATTTTTATCAACCAGATTTAGATCTATGGAGATAAGAATAGGCCAGAGTTGACTTTTTGAAGAATTAGATATCGGTAAACCATCAATGTTTATGTTAAGAGGTAATACTATTTCTACATTTTGCATCAAATGTTTTTGCATATTTAAACTATTATTAATTATCCTACGTAGTCCATTCTCTATGCCAATGTGACAATAGAAACCTGGAGGAACACTTTTAAGTTCATATGGACATGAACTTGGTGTTTTTTAAAAGAGTTCGCGAGTCTTTTGCTAATTGTGGAATATCACTCGTAGAATACCCAACAATTCATTCATGGCAGATTGACTAAGCAAATGTCTGTATTTTAAAAACCATTGTTTCACAGCGTTAACTATGAAATCATTTACAATAGGGAGATTATTACATAAATTTTCAAATGATAAAGAAGTATCTGAACAGTTAATTTCTTCAATCACATCAATATATTCCAATGGTTCAATCTCAATTTTTTCTGGAATCTCGGGAATCACATTATCATGGTTTTCACATTGTTCTTGTTTTTCATTATGTTTCTTTGCAGTATCTACATTTATATTTGTAGTATTTACATTTATGACAGTATCTACATTTATAATTGTTTTTATGTTATTAGGCAAATTATTCGTCTGAATTAATTGTCGATTCAACTGCAAGATGTGTATTAATTCTTTTTTTACCATCCGTCTCATATGACGTTTTGTAACAAAACATTTTTTTATTTTAGCCATTATTGTTTTAATTTTTATGTCAGTATTGCTATTATTGACTTGATAAAAAATCACTGAAAAAATTAAAATCATTCACATGAGATGCTCATATAGTTAATACGTAGTTTTTAAGATTTTATGGTATTTAACGTTATTAAAATAATATATATATACACAATATATACTTACATGGCAGGAATCTCGAACGTCACCAACAGGCAGATCCATTGCTTCCAGTTATAAATAAAGATGAATTTAAAATTTAATTATAAAACGACTTATAAAACCTCCAATAAAGCCCAACAAACACAATTGTCTTATTATTATATTTGGGTATTCTTATTCACATACGAAAGCTCCTGAGACGAAACGCCGCGCTCCCTAGTTACGCGTATCAACTCGTTGCTAACGAACGAGCGGTGATTATTATAGATTCCTAAAACATTCTTGGAACATGTATGAGATATTTGTGTATAGTAAATATGTTACAATAGATTTTTTTAAGTCACCACGAGTGAAATATTTTTTTTCGACTGTCGCAAAGATAAATTGAGTACATATATGTATAAAACACGATTATTTATAAATATTTCAATTAAATATTTGTACATTTTTAAATAAAAATATGAAACTATACTTTTGTTTACTTAACTATGTTTTGCATGAAACGTTAAACAAAAACTATTTTCAAAATATTATAATTTATAAAATATTAAAATTCAGTGATTTATTAATGTATACTACTTTATTTATTAATGTATATATACGTACCTTATTTATATTAATGTATATATATACGTACCTGATATTTACTAAAAGCTTTTGTGTTATTATTTCAAAAACGTTGATGTAACACAATTGTACAAAAACATTGTACAAACACAAATATATAAAATCTGCAATGCAGTGTAATATTTTTGAATATGTTACAAAGTAAATGTTTCATATAAAACGTTCATAGATATTATGAAATTAAATGTTTCAGGAATGTCACAAATAAACATTGCTGTAATGTCTCTGAACGTTACAAACTAAACATCCCAAATGAAACGTTTATGGAATGTTTTAAAATATATGTTTTTATGAACGTAGCAAATGTAACATTGCTGTCATGTCTCTAAGGTTACAAACTAAACATCCCAAATGAAACGTTTATGGAATGTTTTAAAATACATGTTTTATGACGTCGCAAATGTAACAATGCTGTAATGTCTCTGAACGTTACAAACTGACATCCCAAATGAAATGTTTCTAGGATGTTGCCAAACATTTCTTTCCTAACATTTCAATTATATCGATATAACAGCCAAAATGTTACATTTCTGGAACAGTGCATGAATGTTGCAATTGAATGTATTTTGAAACGTTTACGAAACATTTCATAACATATTTATGTAACGTTCAAATTTGCAATTTATTGCCGNCCCAGTAAACACTCAGGGATCATTTACGTAATAATTACATAATGTTTTATATGTATATATTACAGATCATCATAACGAAACTGTGACGTATCGTTTATGTCAATAACGTAATGAATCTATAATTGTTACATAGAATTGTTATATAATTTTAACGTTACTTTGTTATGTAACATTTATGAAATTTGGTGAATGTAAATATGCATTCTCTAAAAGTTTCGTAAATGCTACGTAATTTTGATGACATAATTGTAACGTTATGTTAAATACGTAACATTTAAGTTTCTTTGTGAATGTAAATGTGCATACTCTAAAATTTTCGTAAATGCTACGTAATTTTAATGATATAATTGTAACGTTATGTTAAATACGTAACATTTATGTATTTTGGTGAATGTAAATGTGCATTCTCTAAAAGTTTCGTAAATGCTACGTAATTTTAATGACATAATTGTAACGTTATGTTAAATACGTAACATTTATGTTTCTTTGTGAATGTAAATGTGCATACTCTAAAATTTTCGTAAATGCTACGTAATTTTAATGATATAATTGTAACGTTATGTTAAATACGTAACATTTATGTATTTTGGTGAATGTAAATGTGTATACTCTAAAAGTTTCATAAATACAACATAACTCTAATTACGTAATAGTAACGTTATGTTAAATACGTAATATTTATGTAGTTTGATAAATGTAAATGTGCATACTCTAAAATTTTCGTAAATGCTACGTAATTTTAATGACATAATTGTAATGTTATATTAAATACGTAATATTTATGTATTTTGATAAATGTAAATGCACATACTCTAAAATTTTTGTATATACTACGTAATTTTAATGACATAATTGTAACGTTATGTTAAATACATAACATTTATGTATTTTGGTGAATGTAAATGTGTATACTCTAAAAACTTTATAAATACGACATAACTCTAATTACGTAATTGTAACGTTATGCTAAATACGTAATTCATGTATTTTGGTGAATGTAAATGTATATCTCTAAAAATTTTATAAATGCTATACAACTGTAACGACATAATTGTAACATTAGTTTAAATATGTAACATTGACATTTTTTTATCGACATTAATGTATATATTCAGTAAAAACTTTATAACCGTTATACATAACGAAATTTGCGATATCACATTAAATATAAAAATGTATGTAACTTTGTTGACATCTTTGAGCGTTCTGAAAAAAGGGCATGCATATATCAATGAAAAAAGTATCTGGCAATACATCTTTGAATATTTTCTTAATATATGTATAATTACTTTCAATATTATTTATTAACGTCATTAAATACTTTGTAAAAAAATGGAATTTAATATAATTATTATATATATGTGTATATACATAATCAAATATTTCGAGTTCATTTTTTTATAAAGTACTTAATAATGTTAATATAAAATTATAAATGTCGGAAGTAATTAATACACATCAAGAAAATGTTCAAAAATGTATTCTATATAGATACGTTTTTTCAATGATATTTTATTTCGAACGCTCAGACATCAACAAAGTTACATATTTATTTTTATATTTAATGTGATATCATAATTTTGTTATTATATTGCAACAATTACACGGTTTTTACAGATATGTATACGCATTGGTGTCAACAAAATAATGTTATTACTTATTTAAAATAACGTTACAATTATGTCATTAGAGTTACGTATAGTATTTATTAAGTTTTTAGAAGATACACATTTACATTCACCAATATATATACGTAAACATGACGAATTTAACATAACGTTGCAATTATATCATTAAATTACGTAGTATTTTCGAAACATTTCGAGTATACACATTTATATCCACCAAAATACATAAATGTTACATACCAAAATAACGTCAAAATTACATAACAATTCTATGTAACAATTATAGCTTTATTACGTTATTGACATAAACGAAACGTCATAGTTTCGTTTTGATGATCTGTAATATATACATATAAAACATTATGTAATTATTACATAAATGTATTTTTTTGAAATTATTTATGTTCTTTGTTTTTTAAAACGCGTAATTAGCAAATTAGATTTTATCTGCATTATGCGTCTTTATAAGTTTATGTGAACTCGGCCTTCTGATTAAGTTTGCCATGATTGGCTTAAGTGTGTGCAAGTGCGCAATCGCAAAAAGTGTCCCGCGCAGTTCGCGCTTTACTTTCAATATGGCAGCATGTACGAATACGGTAGTCATACATGCTTGAATGTCGTCTCGAAAGTAAGAACAGTGTAAAGATTTTGGTAAGTATAAGATAAGAAATAATTTAACATATTAAATACTAATAACTGATAATGATTGCGTTATGTTAAAATATTAATTCTAAAGACTGAATTTCTGTATAGAAACCAGACACACCACGGAAGAATCACGTGAAAGCTGCGTGGCTATAACAAAGGACATACCGGCACCGGCGACATAAGATATACACCTCGTGCCTCATTCTTCTTATGTTTGTGGTGAGTACAATTCATTTTATTCAATATCATATTTCCCATCTTTTCGCATGATTTCTTGCACGAGCATATATGTATAATGAGAAAAATAACATATTATTCGCACTGCTTTTTCCAATCATTAGAAGGTTAAATATTTCGAGTGTAAAGATCGGATTTTATTACCTCATAATAATTATAGATTTTTTTATTATATTTTGCATTGCACTAAAACTAAATGACGGTCTACCATTTTTCTTATAATGATATCATAATGGTAATTAATCTAATGAAAAATGATATTAATGATTAAATAGCTAATATTGTTGAGCAAGTAATTATTTGCATTAGAAAAAACTGTAGATATATACATATATTTTTTTGGAATATTTCACATATGTTATACAATTTATTATTGAATTTTCTCATAGTATAGCTCAATTACAAATCAAAGAAAATCTTTATGATTAATAAATATTTTCTACACATGAGTCTTAATTTTTTAATTTAGTGTCATTTGATTTGAATTAATTTTGTGCGAACCAAATTTTATTCAAGTAAAATATTGAAATAAATATGATAGCTTTAACTATTGTAATTCATTGTATAATGAAGATGTAGATCTTGAAAAAGTGTTAATATTATATGCAGTATAAGCATACTACATATAATATTAACACTTTTTCAAGATCTACAACTTCATTATACAATAAATTTCAATAGTTAAAGCTATCATGTTTATTTCAATATTTTACTTGAATAAAATTTGGTTCGCACAAAATTAATTCAAATCAAATGACACTAAATTAAAAAATTAAGACTCATGTGTAGAAAATATTTATTAATTATAAAGATTTTCTTTTATTTGCAATTGAGCTATACTATAAGAAAATTCAATAATAAATTTTTAACATATGTGAAATATTTGGAAAAAATATTATATCTACAGTTTTTCTAATGCAATGGTTTCCTGGTCAACAAAATTAGCTATTTGATATTATTTATCATTGAAATTACCATTACAATCATTATAAAAAAATTATAGACCAATATTTTCTATTAATGTTTTTTTAAATATTCAAATTATATTTTATTTGTTTTAATCAATGGATTTATTTAGATTGAAAAAAAAACTGTACATGTCTCACTTGTTAAAAATATCTTATTTATCAAAATATCTTTTATTTTACAGATAAGTTTTCCATATATACAGTATCATTGCTCGTGATAAGGATATACAACGGCGTGCACACAAGGTCTTACGTAACACACGACTGCATATAAATACAGATATTTGGTGAACACACCTCATTTTACCACTTCATAATTTTCATATTTGGTGAGTACGATTCATTTTATTTTAACCTCATATTTCCCATATCTTTCGCATCATTTTTTGCACGAGCATATAATGAGAAAAACAGTAATCTTATTTGCATTGCCTTTTTGAATTATCAGAGGCTTAAACATTTCCAGTATAAATATATTGGTCTTTTAGTACCATGGCGAAATAGTTTGAGTGATGATATCTTTGTTGCATTTTTCACGTGTTAATTCTAACGAATAAAAAGTCGCAATATAAACAAAAATATTAATAAAAATCAAATAATTATACAGTACATTTTATGCATATTACCATTATTATGATAAAATATAATTTAAAAGTATCTGATATGTATCGGATACTTTTAAAGTATCTGAGTATCTGTATCAATATACATTTTGATTTGTGTATCTGTATCTGTATCTAGATATATTTTTTTACACGTATCTGTATCTATATCGAGATACATTTTAAATGTATCTTACTCATCACTGATGTATATACAGGGTAGGCCATTTTAATCTTTCCACTAAAATTTCTCAAAATCCAAAAATTTAAGACAAAAATGTTTCAGATAAAAGTTGTATGGTTTCAAGGGGGACATGAGATGGTGTCATTGATTTGACCTTGAATAGCCATTTGAAGGTTACGTAAAGGTCAACTTCAATTTCTTAAATGGAACACTATATTTTTTCTTGCATACTTTTGTAGCTGACTTCGAGATCTTTCCAAAACACTACAATAAAATATTTTTTCATGAAGTATTTTTCGAGTTATTAAGGCTGCAAAGTTGCAGTATTTTGACATAAAATACAAAATATCTTGGGAAATATTCATTTTTCGATTATCATACCTTAATACTTTTATGCACAGAATAATGAGACGAATCAATTGGTGTAAAGAAAACACATAGTTGTCTTAAAGAAAAATTATCTAACTGCTTATTGCAATTTTCATATTTTTTTTAAAGGTAACTATGTGTTTTCTTTACATCAACTGATTTATCTCATTATTCTGTGCATAAAAGTATTAAGGTATGATAATCGAAAAATGAATATTTCCCAAGATATTTTGTATTTTATGTCAAAATACTGCAAATTTGCAGCCTTAATAACTCGAAAAATACTTCATGAAAAAATATTTTATTGTAGTGTTTTGGAAAGATCTCGAAGTCAGCTACAAAAGTATGCAAGAAAAAATATAGTGTTCCATTTAAGAAATTGAAGTTGACTTTCACGTAACCTTCAAATGGCTATTCAAGGTCAAATCAATGACACCATCTCATGTCCCCCTTGAAACCATACAACTTTTATCTGAAACATTTTTGTCTTAAATTTTTGGATTTTGAGAAATTTTAGTGGAAAGATTAAAATGGCCTACCCTGTATATGTATATGTAAATGTGTATATATAATTATAAAATACCAGGGTTGGGAAGTAACGAGTTACTTGTAACGAAGTTACAGTTACAGTTACTTTTTTTCGGTAACTGTAACTTAACTTCGTTACTTTTCTCCATCTGTAACTGTAACTGTAACTTAGTTACATTTTTTTAGTAACTAGTAACTATTTTAACAGTTACTTTATTAATTACTTTTTTTGGAAACATTCGCTAAAAGTATCGTTTAAGTATGGTAGCCGTTATATTGTTAAATTAAATTTTGATAACAGTAGCATATATATATATATATATATATATATATATATATATAGATCTTCATATATAATTTAATTTTTTACCTAAAATTTTTATTTTGTGTACATAAAATAATACAACACATAATTACAATCGACCAATCACAGTCAAGTATTTAAAAAAATTCTTAAATGTAATAATTAATCGATTTGCTTGCGACTTTGCGATTACAATTTAGTAAGTTACCATATATAACTATTTTTACTGTTGTATATAAAGGTCATTCATACATTGATGGTAATCGCAAAGTCGCAAGCAAATCGATCAATATTACATTCAAGAATTTTTTTAAATACTTGACTGTAGTTGTGCATAATATGTAAGCTCCTTATATTTAAAATAATGTATAATTATTTTTAAAAAGTAATTGAAAAGTAACGACTCGTTACTTTTTAATTAACTGTAACTGTAACGAGTTATTTTTTAAAATTGATAACTTGTAACTGTAACTAGTTACTGTTTCAATAAGATAACTGTAACTGTAACTAGTTATTTTTACAAAGTAACTTTTCCAACCCTGTAAAATACTATATATGAAATCTGTCCATATATAATTACATATAATTAAATATATAATTCCATATAACACAGAAAGATTGCAGACATAATTAAAATGTTACAGTGATGCAATTTACATAATATAGTCTTATATATGATATATAATCTATAATTTTATATAAGATCATTTTACAATATGTAAATTGCGTCACTAACATTTTAATTATGTCTGCAATCTTTTTATGTTATATGGGATATAATTAAATCTAATATATGGACAGATTTCATATGTAGTTTTTAGTTTTATACAATTATATATATAATCAATTTATATATATGATTGTATATAAAAAATTTTTACCGAAATGAAAAATGTATTTAAAATATTATTTTAGATTATTAGAGTATTATATCAGATTTCTAGATTATTTCACTATTGTTAGCATTAAATTTTTTGATATAAATGAAATACTTAAGGAATGTGAATTACATTTTTTTCTATTTTCTATTAGTATCCGTTAAATATTACGTAAATTATATTTTTATTATTGGATTAGTTTGTATGAAAGAAAACCTGCAAAAGTCCACTTTAAAAATATTTTTTATTTATCAAAATATTTTTATTGTCCAGATAAGCTTCCTATATACAATCTCACTGATAAAGGAGAATATAACATAAGCAATAAAGGCGACGTATAAGGCATATCCAATAATCTATCTTCGTACATATAATCGCAATTTAGCTTTTCTGTTTCTTTATAAGATTATATCATGTCCAAGTCAAAATTACGACTAGACATTACTTCTTTAACGCCAAGGCAGCGGCGACGTATTTTTTTAAAAAAATTCAATAATATTTGCCAAATGAATATTGAATCAAATTTGGAAGTTCAAAATAATATAAGTGGATCAAATGGACCAGAAAATATCGAACAATTACCTCAACAACAAAATGTACTAAAGGAAATTAATTTTAATTATTCCAATGTAATGCATACTCACAAGATTACTGAAAATGAAGATGATTTAATTTTCAAACATTTGAGAATTGGTACTGATAATAATAGTTCTCATTCAAGTATTTCAAGTGATGAATTTTCTAATAAAACAGATATTATTAACGACATCCGATTATGGGCTATTGAAAATCATGTCAGTCATTCTGCTACTAGTAGTTTACTGAAAATTCTAGTAAAATATGGCCATAATCTTCCTCTTGATGCTCGAACTCTGTTCCAAACTCCCAAGCAAGTAGACATTATTGAAATGACACCAGGCAAATATTATCATGCAGGTTTAAGTGATAGTTTAAGAAAATCTATTCGTAAGCATTATTGTCAAAGTAATTTACCATCTCAAATAAATATTAATGTGAATATAGATGGTCTTCCTTTAACAAAATCTTCTGGCAGTCAATTTTGGCCTATTTTAGGTAGTATAGTTGCAGATTTTTACACTGAACCGTTTATAATTGGTGTTTATCATGGTTTTCAAAAGCCAAAATGTTGCAATACTTTTCTGAAATATTTCAAGGATGATTGTCTTGAAATTTTTCGAACTGGTATTGTACAGTATGGCAAAAAAATAACTGTAAAATTGAATGCATTTATCTGCGATGCTCCTGCAAAATCATTTATCAAGGGAACTAGAGGACATAATGCGTATTTTGGATGCGGTAATTGTATTCAAGAGGGAGATTACGTAGAAAATCGAGTAACGTACCCAGAAATTAATGCAATATTAAGGTCAGATGAATCATTTAAATTAAAACAACAAGAAGAACACCATAAAATGACTTCAAATCTTGAAGACTTAAACATTGGAATGGTTACTCAATTTCCTTTAGACTACATGCATCTCGTACTATTAGGAATAATGAAAAGATTATTGCAGTTTTGGATTAAAGGCAAACATAATGTTCGTATGGTTGCAACTCAGATAACTCTTGCTTCAACTTCTTTATTATCTATGTCATCATTCTTACCCAAAGAATTTGCTAGAAAACCAAGGAAATTAGATGAGGTCGATCGCTTTAAAGCCACCGAATTAAGACAATTATTATTATATACTGGGCCAGTAATTTTTTTGAAAAAATTACCACGCGATAAATATGTTCATTTTTTGAGTCTAAGTATAGCAATTCGAATTTTATGTAGCAAAAAATATTGCGTACAACTGCTTGATTATGCACACAATTTACTATTGTATTTTGTTGAAAATTATGGCACATTATATGGTTGTCAATATATATCATATAACGTTCATAATTTAATTCATCTGTGTTATTATGTAAAATTATGGGGAGTGTTAGATGAATTTAGCGCGTTTAAGTTCGAAAATTACATGCAAAAAATTAAATCAAAGATAAGATCTTCAAGTCAACCATTAGAACAATTAGCCAATCGTTGTATAGAAGAAGATAATTTGGATATAACAAATGTAGAAAAGATTTATCCAATATCAAAAGTACGTATTATAAATGGCAGAAAGATAATAAAATCGGTTCAATGCAAGGGTTTCTATCTTAGTACAAGAACTGCTGATAATTGTTGTTCTTTATTAGATGGTACAACGGTTTCGCTTACGAAAATTTATTTTAAAAATAAACAGATTTATGTTACTGCTAAAAAGTATTTGAATATTAAATCATTTTTCCACATTCCATGCGACTCTTTCAATATCGGTATTAAACAAATTAACGAGTTACAATATGAGTTAATTACTATTCCATTGTTTGATATTAAATTAAAATGCGTAAAATTGCCTTTATGTGACGAAGAAGCTGTAGTATTGCCTTTACTACACCAACAAGAAATATGTTAATGGCGAGTACTTATATATTGATATAATCTATAATTGAAAACAATATTAAATATTAAATTACTTAACAAATTTTACTTTTTTAACAGATTATTAATAATGGCGAAAAATTTCGCTGTCGTTACTTTTCCAAGCGATGGAAATAATGAAGAAGAAATTGTATCAGAAGTTCCATCTTTATGGCTTTCTTTCAATTTAAAAGAATGCTGGTGGCCATTGGTAAAAAATGTAAATACCTTTATTATAAAACAAATTCCACCTGTTATTAATGATCCTAAATGGGAATCTTATCCCATTAAATTTCATGGATATTATGGTAAGTTATATTTTATTTTAGAATTTATGTAATTGTTTTTTTAATATTTTTAAAAAATAATGTAATTTCTAAATACGATTTTGTCTCAATTTAGATTCATTAGAGGAAGCTAGACAGAGAGCAACGAACTATTCTTCAAGTGAGGAAAGCAATATAAATGAAATAAAGAAGTCACGCACAAGACAGTTGAATAAAACTGTTTCTCACAATGAGTCTGAATCTGATTCTGATGACTCACGTTTAGTTATACCAAATCCACCAAATCTTACTGTAAATACAAATGCCTCGCAATCAGTTAACAAAAGTCAATCTATCGCAACTGTTATTAATTCATCAGTTGTCAGCAATGATATTGACCTGGAGATTCTTGATGGAACTTTAGTACCACTTAAAAGTAATTTTTATTTTAAAATTCTTTAATTCAATTTACTTATATTATTTTCATAATATAAGTTTTTTTCATTACAGTTATTACAGTTATTATTGTTTATTATGTGAATAATCTAATATTTCTTTAATGTTAATTTTTAGGTATACAGGATGTACATACGTTAATATCAGATGGATTCGAAAAAATGGAAGGTATTGTATTTATTTTTGTCTTATAATCTTATTGTCTTATAATATACTTTATATCTATTTTTGGCACTGTTTATTCAATACTATTAATTTTTCAGGTCATTTTAAAAATATATATACAGCTATAACTACAGTTACATTAGGAATACAAGATCTAAATGTTCATTTAACAAATATAGAAAAACAAAATAATCAACATAAATCCAAAGCATCTGTCACGGATACATCAAATATACATCAATTTTTTCCATTTAAAAATATAAATGAAGTAACAGCTTTTGAAAACCGTTTATCAGAAAATGTAGATGAGTACAACAAATTTGTAAGTTTAATTTAGCTTATTTAAATGCAAATTTCATCTAAATAGAACAATAGAAACTGTATTATCGGTATGTTTTATTTCTAAAGATGCTGTATATATCTCGCATAGGCGGAAGGTCCGCCAAGGAAAATTTAATTCGCATATACCGAACTTTATTTTCCAATGAAGTTGCCAAAGAATCATCTTGGAAAGGATTGCGAAATCATTTTAAAATTAGTAGCTTAAAGTATATATTAATGGGAATACTAGGTAAAATATATTTTTATATTTATTTTTATAAACAAGTTTATAAAATAAAATTTAATTTAATGTATTGTAATATTTCAGCAACAATTTCCGGTCAACATCAATTCACAAACAAAGAATTTGAAGAGGTCACAAAAGAATGGTTTCGCCAAGGTGGTCAGAGGCTTAGCAGACAAAAAGATTTCGAAGAAATAAATCCGCAAGTCATTTAAATGTTTCAGATGCTTATGATTTATTTTCATTATAATTTTTTTCTATAGTGGCTAGAGTCTATTAATATAACAAAAATATTTTTCTTTTCCTAATTTTTTTTATTGAATAATTAATACTTAAGTTTTTAGATTTTTGTGTTCTAAATTCATATAGTCTGCACTGTTTCTTTTCATTATGAGTTCTTATATATATATATATATATACGTCATTACTTGAATTAAATATTTCTTTTAAGAGAATTAGCAGACTTAGTAAGCATCATTTATTGATACTTTTGAATAACAATTTTGTTTCAATTTTTTTTGAATTACAAAAAGTATAACCGTATTTTCTCCATGCAATTTGAATTATGTTTACATTTTTGTTTAAATTAAATTTAATATATTTTTGTTTAAATTAAACTCTAACGATACACACTCATGTATTTTCGACAAATTATTAATGAATTACACATGAATCTCAAAAGTATAATTTGGATGAGTGTATTGATGAAAAGTTTATTGATGTGAGAATTATATAGTTTTTATATGAAAAGTCTATAGAAAATTTACTTTATACTAATGTATATATAGTGTTAAAACCAAAAAATGAAGTCGCGAATACTCGTGTGTATCGTAAGAGTTAATTTTATAATAATTATTATTATAAATTTATGTTTTTATTTAAATTTAATTAATTTATGTTATTAACGATTATTACAAGTGTAATACTACACTTCGCAACAAAATTAGAAAATTATCATAGTCTGATATTTAAAAGCATTTTAAAACTAGAAAACTCAAAGTTTTCAATGGAGATTTTTTAACGGAATTTCTTTACACAGATTTTACTATAAACTACTTTAAAATAAGCCTTATATAATTGTAGAAAAAAAACTTTAACATTGATAGGCGATTACGGAAAGAACAAATTTTTTATCAACTTTATTAATGGTATTAAAATATAGTATTTTTTTTTTAAATGCATTTTTATAAACATTGCGTTACGAATTGTGTTTTGATGTTTTGAAATAAACAGCATTTTCAGGCCTTTTTAAAAAACTTCATATTTGTTGTCGGTATTGGTAATACCCACAGGAAAGTTACAAGGTTGGACTTACACTTTGTGTGTGTACATGTGTGTGTGTGTGTGTGTGTATGTGTGTAAGATGTGTGTGTGTGTGGAAAGGGTATGAGTGAGTATGTGTGGGATGTGTGTGAGCGTGTATGAAGTGTGTGAATGTGTGTGGAGTGTGTGTGAGTATGTGGAATGTGTATAGGATATGTGTGTTTGTATAGGGTGCGCGCGAGTGTATGTGTATGTGTGAGTGTGTGTGTGGAATGTGTATATATGAATAAGGTATGTATGGGGTATGTATGAGTGTGATGGTGTGTGCATGTGTGGGGTGTGTGTGAGTGTGTATATGAAGTGTGACTGTGTATGGAGTGTGTATCAGATATGTGTGAGTATGTATGGAATGTGTATGAATGAGATCAGTATGTGTGTGGAATGTGTGAGTGTATAAAGTGAGTGTGTATGGAATGGGTATAAATGAGATCAGTATGTGTGTATGGGATGTGTGTGAGTGTATGGAGTGAGTGTGTATGAAGTATGAGTGTGTATGGAATGTATGTGTGTGAAGTGTGTATCGGATATGTGTGAGTGTGTATGGAATATATATGAATGAGGTCAGTATGTGTGTGTGGGATGTGTATGACAGACACACATTATATACATACTTACACACATTCTTAAAAACACCTTCCCCCACATATAAATTATATATATATATATATATACTACACATTTATACATCCACACTTATACATTACACACCTCCGCACACACCATGCACATCACACATACCCTATACGCACTCATACACACACACACACACACACATGCCCCCCCCCACACACACTTCTCACACATACACCTCCTTATGTACACATACTTTTCACACATATATACACCCCGCACACACCCATACACGTTCACACACATCGCACACATGCTCACACGTACCCCACACACGCTTACACACACCCATACTCTACACACACTCCACACATACTCACACATTCCATACACACACACATCCCACACATGCTCACATATACCCTTCTCCCCCACACACTCCACACACACACACACACACACACACACACACACCCATACACACATCCCACACACACACACCCATACACGCTCACACACAGCTCACACATGCTCACACGTACCCCACACACACCTTACACACCCATACTCTACACACTCCACACACACTCACACATTCCATACACGCACACATATCCCACACTTATTCACACGTACCCTTCCCCCCACACACATACATCTCACACACACACACACACACACTTGCACACACATACACACACGAAGTGTAAGTCCAACCTTGTAATCTTCCTGTGGGTAATACCAATATCGACAACAAATACGAGGGTTTTTTTTAGAAAATAAGCCTGAAAATGCCTATTCATTTCAAAATATCATAACTCAGAGAAACACAATCCACATAATGTAATATTTAAAAACGCATTTTGAAAGGGAAATGCTATATTTTAATACAATTAATAAAATTGATAGAAAATGAATTCTTTTTCTCCTCGTGCACGCCAAAGTTAAAGTTTTTTCTACAATTTTGTAAGGCTTTCATTGTAGAATAGCGCCGTTTGCAATAAATCTTTTAGTAAATCTTTGTAGGGAAATCTCCATTAGAGCATTAGAAAGTTGGAGTCTCATACTTGAAAATGCTTTTTGATATACTGCTCTACGATCATTTTTTGTAAACATACATGAATTTGAATTTGATTCTTTCTAATTTTGTGACCCTAATTTTGTTGCGAAGTGTATTAAAATATAAGCGCAATTTTCTGCTTGTTTATTATTATCAGTTATTTAGCAGTTGTTTATTATTTACAGCTATAAATATATATTAAAAGTTTTCTGTTAAAAAGAATCTGTAATATAATTTAAATTATATTATAATTTATCATTATGATTGCGAATTGAAAAAAAACAGTTTTATAAATGTTAATTAGTAATGTTTGTTGAAAAATTCATTTTTTAACAATTTATAAAAATAAAGAATTGTTAAAAAAACCAATATTATATTGTTATATTTATATATATATACACGATTTTTAAAAAATATCTTAATAATATAGATTATATATATATATATATATATATAATTCTTTTAATTTAATCAATTAAAAACAGCTCATTAATAATTTCATCCAATCAATAATTTTACGCTGTTAAAATTAATTTTTATTTACTAAAAGTTGATGAAACTATTGATTCTTAAAAAGATTACTGATATAGATATGATATGTATGTTTAAGGCAAAATTACGTATTATATAGCAACATTATCCTGTATATAATATGTAACAAAATGACGTAACAAATATTTAAAATTTAAATAAATAATTATATAACTATAGCAGAATAGTCTCTTTATTTTAATCATTGATGCATATATATATATATTATAATATATACATTTATCGATGATTAGACTGAAGAAAGATTGTTCTGTTATAGTTTTGTAATTTTATGTTTAAATATTAGTTATTTGTTACGTCATTTTGTTACATATATATAACATAATGTTGCTGTATATAATACGTGATAATTTGACCTAAACATTACCTATAAATTACATAATGGTTACCAGAACAGAGGATATCTGTTCTGTAAATGTTACAAATAATATTTAATAGGTTCTGTTATAGTTACATAATTTTATACCTAAATTTTATGTATTTGTTACGTTATTTTGTTACATATTACATACAACATAATGTTGCTGTATACAATACGTAACATTTGACCTAAACATTACCTATAAGTTACATAATGGTTACCAGAACAGAGAATATCGGTTCTGTAAATGTTCTGTAAATGTTATGTAAATGTTACAAATAATATTTGATAGGTTCTGTAATAGTTACGTAATTTTATGTCTAAATTTTACGTATCTATTACGTTTAAATTTTATGTATCTATTACATATCATATACAGGCATAATGTTGCTGACATTTCCATCTAAACGTTACTTAATAGTTGACATAACGGTTACCAAAACAGGGAACAACCGTTTTGTATATGATCTGTAAAAGTTACAGAACAGTGTTTATTGGGTACACATCCAAATTAACAGTATTCGCTTTTGTAGCATTTTAGTCTGCAATATCTCAGACCTTTCGCCTGCTCTAGGCGTCTAATTAGAAAAATCTTATTTGATACTTGCATCACTAGAAGGCTGCCCCAAACGCCGTATATCTATAACTAAAACTGTCCCAAACAACTGAAAATGGATCATCAGTGTCACAAGTTCCATTATGGCAATAAGGAAAAGAATATTTTGGCTTTCAAAGAATGGTTGACGGAAACGATGATAGACAGTTTCCATGCGCTACTCGAGAGCAATTCTGATTATGCACCTCGACCTGTATGGTTGACAATATTTCCCGATCAGATTGTTCCACTGAATAATTCAAAGAAGAAGCATTTGCAAATACTGCACAGTGATTTTGGTGGTGGACATTGGGTTGCTTGCCATTACGATGCAAAATCTATTATTATATATGATTCTCATGAAGGTAGTCGTAATGCAAATATACATAATTTGAATGGAGAAATTCGAATTTTTGTGGACAGATTATTTCCCTTTCATGATTGTCAAAACAATCTAATAGTTTTTCCTAAAGTTCAGTCGCAAGGTGACGGTTATAATTGTGGTCCTATGGCAATTGCGATTGTTACATCTATTCTGTTTGGCGTAAATCCTTGCATCGTGACGTATAATCAATCGTTGCTAAGACCTCATTTGTCCGCAATGTTTGAAAAACAAACAATAACTCATTTTCCGTACCTCTATGATTCAATTGCTCCATTAACGCTACTGCCGTTGGAGACATTGAAAAGACGAGAGAGGGATGCACTGAGAAAAAGACTTGCACGTAGTAAGGAAACTGAGGAACAGCGTTCGAAACGAATCGAAAAAGATGCTTTTTCTCACAAAGAAAAATATTTTATGAATCCTGC